TACAGTTTTTTTTAAATTATTAGGGGACTGCTGGCTTTTCGTCTACAAGTTGCTTTTTAGGTGCTAATTAGGGCCTCTAATTAAAAATTAGGTGCTCCTGTAGTTTCTGAGAAAATCAAAAAAAACTAAGGGATTGCTAGGTTTATGAAAGCTAGTAATCTCCTATAGTAAAAAATATTTTTCCAAAATTTTCTTTTGTATCAGAATAAGGTGCTTTTTAGGTGCTCTCAAATAGTCGGAGAAAAAATAGAATTGATTAATTATTAACTAAGTTACAGATTTTTTTTTAATTATTAGGGGACTGCTGGCTTTACGTTTACTTGTTGGTGTGTCAGAATGGCAAAAAAACTTCGGGATTTATATAATAATTAGATGCTTTTTAGGTGCTAATTAGGACCTAAACTAAAAAACTAAAACATATCGTATATCATTGAAAAGAGCATTAAATTTTCTATAATTCTGTGCTATATTGAATTTGGTAGCTCAAATTCTTTTTGATCAATTGAGTCTCAAAGTTGAATTTTACTACAATCACTGATCAATATTCCCAAGAATTACAACTAGTTACTTATGATTGTTAAATATTTTACCAGGTGATTTCCACTTTTTTGGGGATTCCTATATAATTCTCAATTGATTTCCTCTAAGCAATCATTTAATTCTCAAAACAATATCCAATTGTTAAGATATTGTGCAAAATGTGGCAACAATGAGCCATATTTTCCTCCGTACCATATGGCATTATCGAATTTCGAATTAGGCCAGGGAAGATAAATTTTTTCGTAACATAAAATTTAACAGCAAACTATCGATGCAGTATTGTTAAGGATCATTTATAGATGCTAAAAACCAAAAATGCAACATCTAATTACTTTTAGGGGATTTTATAAACAATATTTAGTGCAAAAATAGGGTTTATTTCACTGTATTTCGAAAACTAAGGATCGGATGGTTTTGCTACTCAAGGCAATAATTTTAGAGCATTGAACAAGCTTTAAAATGAGCCATCTGTGCAAAACCACATAAGGGAAGATAAATAACTTGATAATTAGTGGACTGTATAATTAGGTGGACTGGATGCTCGACTGGATAGTGAACTGAAACACACGCGCTTTTCATTGACACTATATTTACAACAATTTACACAATATTTACACTATTTACAATTACTACTACAAGATGGCAAGAAGCCAGAGCTTGCTCCAAGCTACAATGACAAAATGGCGTGCAATTATATTGACAGACATGACAAAATAGACATGACAACAACGCTGCAGTGTTGCCAACTTTATATGTATAAAAATATTTTGCCATCAAAAAGAGATAGCATGATTGTTGGAACATGTTTCCAACAACAATGATAGATCTTATCTTATTAAAGATGAAAAAGGAAAAGAATTAAGAAGAAACAGGAAGTTTATTAATAAGACTAATTCACTTGTGCAAATTTTTAATAATATATTTGATGATTTATTGTATGAGATATCTGATTTTGATGATGAGCCTACAAATGTTGAAAACACTAGAAGTATATTATAGTTCTCCTGTTGAGCTAATTTCTGAGACAGATTCATCTACTGATTGTATTAATGTTTCTGATTTTGAAAAAGCTCTTCACAGAAAGCTATTCTAACAAATATTAATTGCAATGAATCTGACTCAAAAAATGCAGGACGTACGTAAAATAACAGAAAATCAAGAGAATGATATAGGATATGTATTTTTAAGCAATAATATGTATTTAAGTAATCGCCGCAGTGATAATAGTGACGATGATAACTTCATTTGTAACAGTGACAATTCTGATTCTGTGGTAATCTGTGACACAAAAAACACAATCACTATCAAATTCCTTGACAAGACAAAATCTCAATGACAACACATATCAGAAATCGCAAAAACAATGCTGCTAACAATAAAAAACAAAAATGGCGGCTCTTTCAAATCCGGCGAGAGCAATCAGTTCAGAGACAAAAAAGATGGAGGAAGACAGAAAGATTCAAAGATGGCAAACAAAGTGGGAAAACAATACAACAAAGGGACAATGGACCAAACACCTGATACCCAGATATAGGCGTATGGTTATCCTGCAAGCACCGACACATCCACTACTTCATCACTCAAATACTCACCGGACACGGGTCCTTCAGGACCTATACCCATAGAAAAGGCAGGACCGATGACAGATATGTCTACTGCGGAGAGGTGGACTCACTGTCGCAATATACCAGAGATGGCTGGTACAAATTGCATTCTCTGGTGATAGACCTGGACATAGATGGCATGACCACCAAATCACTTTTAGACCAAATGAAAACATCAAGAAGAAAGTAGGACACAGAAAAGAAATACACTGATGTAATGAGGACAAAGGCAGCAGAAAAAACGGACGCTCAGGGATAAATCAAAGACAAACTTTACTTCGACGGCAAGTCCGCAGAGGGTATTTCCGAAGTAGTTGGGAGAAGAAGGAAAAGTTTTAATCGGTCGGTGATCCTCAGAACAGGACACCCACATGCTACCAGAACAACAACACCTAGAACAGTCTCTAAACAAATTTCCTAAACCCCTCTATAGGAAAAAAAAAAGTGAGATTGCACTAGTCAGAGCAGAAAATCTCACGGATCTCTCACTCTTACGTATTGAGTAGATAGGCAAGGCCGTTCCAAACCTTCCCACTACTTCATTGATAAAACCCCACAATGTTTGCAAGTATTCCTGAAATTTTTGGTTCATGGCCTCTCAAGTACGATAACATATAACATGTTATTTCTGTTTCTGTTAAATTCTTTTAATTCAAAGATTTGCGTTTATGCCAATATATTTTAAATATATAAAATTATCGGTTTGTAAATAAGTTCTACGTCTTCCAATTCCCGATCTCCAACCATCTCTGTCAATTTAGGCATCCTCTTCTTGTCTCTCATTTCTTCATTCACTCCACTTCTCCAGCTTCTTCTTGGTCTTCCTTTCAATTCAATAATTTGCTTGGGTATTCTTGTATCTGCCATTCTTTGTATATGTCCGAACCAAATCAGCTGTTTGTCCTTTATATCATCTACTATTGCGTGTTTTACGTCCATAATCTCCCTTATTCTCAGATTTGTTATCCTTTCCATTTTTCACCTGCCTTGCCGATCTTTTCCAAAAGTCCATTTCAGTTGCTTCCAGCATTTTTGCGGTTCTGTTCTTTAGTGGCCAGGCCTCTGAACTATATATAACTATGCTTTTGACTATGGTGTATATTCTAGTTTTGTTGATATTTTGGTTCCACAGTACACCATCTAGTAGGGATATTGCCTTGCGTCCTTGTATATTCCGATCTTCAATTGCTTCGTCTAGGGTTCCCTCATGTAAAATTTTCATGCCCAAATATTTGTATTCAGTACATTGTTTTATTTCTTGTCCGTTATTCAATTTCAGAGTTCGTTGTTCACCTCCTATGTCATATATTCTGTTTTAGTTAGATTTACTTCCAAACCCCATTTCTCATATTCTTCTATCAGTTTTCGTGTCATGTACTCTAGGTCATCAGTCCTGTATAATTACTACTTGATCATCTGCAGTAGATCATCTATCTTGATCATCTATACATTATTATATAATCATCTTCCTTGCCATTTTAGCTTAGTTTTGAATAAACTAATGATAAAAAGCCATTTTCCTACGCAATATATAATGAATGGCCATTGTAATTGAAAATTTATCGGTCCTGACAGGAAACAGCAAAGCTTTTTATCGTTTACCCAAAAGGATGTAGCCACACATATGATGGTACAGACGAAAAATAATAATAATTATCACACATTAGTCCAATTATGAAAATTTTGTTCACTTGCCAAGAAAATTTAGTGCAACAATTTTTGATTTTCATAGAAATTGACTATAAAATCCAATGGGTACAAGGAATTCATTTGCATAACGAGGAATTTTGTGCCCACCATAATAATTAAAATAACTGTATTTGAGATTCTTTATATATAAATCTATCAACATACTGAGAAAAAATATATAGGTACAAGTCCTTTGGAGAGCTCATTAGTCCGGAGCTACAAGAAAATGTTTGGTTTGGCCTCCGATTTATACCTACTTATCTTAAAAAGATCTACATAACAACTTTATCGGGGCGAACAATAAAAAGGCAAAAACACACTATGTTCCCAATGCCTTTTCTATTCAAATGAACTCCTCGGAGCCAGATTTACATATACGAACACTTTGGTTTAAATACATCTCTAACAGATTTCTTTTTTTCTTGGATCGATGAAGGAGGCGCGGCCATCAAAAAGATAACTTTTCCAGGGAGGGAAACTTATCCGGGGCAAATTTGCGGGTTCTGGAAACTTATTTCCGAGAGAGGGAAAAGTTTCACTGAAACTGCCAAAGAGTTTTCCTATATCCGGGGCCCGCGTAAAACTGTTCAATGCTAATGTGCCGTTTTATTGCGGGAGCTGAATTGTTTTTTTTTTTTTGAGTCAAAAATAAGTATAATGTATACTATATACTATACTATAGTAATTTTTAGAAGAAATTGACAGTAGTTGTTTGGGGCGCCACACCATACATACAATTATTTTCGCTAATTAACAGCCGCAACTGTTTGATGCTATTTTAAACATCTCTAGCCGCGATTATTTTCGGATAGAGAATTTCAATCAACAAAAACCGAACACACGCACACAGATGTCGCTTAATTTCCACTTAAAACCAGTCATAAATCTGTTGGCAAGTTCCGACTGATGTGTGATGTTTAAAATCAGTTTTGGACTTGATTGAATCAATAATTGCATTTTTCATATGTTAGTAATTATTAGCTTATTTAGGGCCAAATTATGGACCAAATGGTAAGTGTCTGGTTATTACCTAACAGGTACTTTCTATTCTCTAATGCATAGAAAGTACCTGCTAGGTAACAACCAGACAGTCCATAATTTGGCCCTTACTCACACAATGGTAACAACAAATCAAATCATCAATAATGATTTCCTAATTAATCTTACCCACAATATCCAATAATAGTCAATCCACCAATAATAATAATAATAATAATAATTAATCCTCCTTTTTTGTATATAATAAAAGTATATAATACTTAATTCACCCCGCGCGATTTTGATTCAATAAAGTTCATAAGCGCGCACACACCGACTGAAACCGAATACCGATCCTGAAAGACTCTCGGACTAAACTGAAATGTTCGGTGTTGGGGCCTCGCGGAGTCGGATGACGGGTTTCGGAACGTGGACCCTCTTCAGAGTTCGGCTCCGGAGGGATGAAAATTTTGGGGTGCTTAATTAAGATGCGAATACATTATAATCATCGTTCATATCGATTGAGTGATTAATATGCTTCGGAGTGTCACATCGATTTCAAACTTTTAGGATTTATTCAGTAGGATGTTTTCATTGAACAAGGCAAATTTGAAGCTCAGAAATAAAATTATGAGTTTTTTTCCAACTTGATACTAGAAAAATTCATGTTAAATCACCTTTGAAAAATCCTGAAAAATACTTCGGAGTATCAGATCGATTTTAAACATTCAGGATTTAATAACCAGGATGTTTTCATCAAACAAGGCAAATTTGAAGTCAATCTGAAGCTTAGAAGTAAAATTATGAGGATTTTCCCAACTTATTACCAGAAAAAGTTGGAAAATTCAGGTTAAATCATATTTGAAAAATCCTGAAAAATACTTCGAAGTATCAAATCGATTTCAAACTTTCAGAATTTATTAATCAGGATGTTTTCATCAAACAAGACAAATTTGAAGTCAATCTGAAGCTCAGAAATAAAATTATGAGGTTTCTTTCCACCTTTATACCAAAAAAATTAGGAAAATTCACGTTAAATCACCATTGAAAAATCCTGATAAATACTTCAGAGTATCAGATCGATTTCAAACCTTCAGGATTTATTAATCAGGATGTTTTCATCAGACAAGGTAAATTTGAAGTCAATCTGAAGCTGAGAAATAAAATTATGAGGTTTTTTCCAACTTAATACCAGAAAAACTTGGAAAATTCTTGTTAAATCACCTTTGAAAAATCCTGAAAAATACTTCCGAGTATCAGATCGATTTCAAACTTTCAGGATTTATTAACCAGCATGTTTTCAACAAACAATGCAATTTTGAAGTTGATTTGAAGCCTAGAAATTGAATCATGAGATCTTTTCCAACCGAATACCAAAAAAACTTGGAAAATTCATGTTAAATCATTTTTGAAAAATCCTTAAAAATACTGCCGAGTATCAGATCGATTTCAAACTTTCAGGATTTATTTTAAGTTGCCTCTAAATGTCAAAATAATGTATTTCGACAGGTGCCAATTTTTTCATTAACTCATAAGTCACTCAACTATCAAAGCTGTCAAAAATTACATATTATCTTGAAAGTGACGATTTTAGTTCTATAAGAAAATATCAAAAATATTAAAGTTTCATAAATATCAAACTGTCAAAATAATAACATTTGACAGATGCCAATTTTTTCAGAAGCTCATCGAACATCCTACTGTCAATGTCGACTTTGTCAACTGCCGCAAAATGGCTAATTTTCTTCATAAAACTTACAAGAATTTTTGAGGCTTCGTTGACTTAAAATCACCTCTAACTGCCAAAATAATGTATTTTGACAGATGCGAATTTTTTCATAGATTCATTTGTTATCCAACTATCAGAGCTGTCAAAAATTGCTTATTTCAATATAAAAATATTAAAAACATTCAAGCATTATCCTAGATATCAAAGATATCAAAATAATAACATTTGACAAGTGTCTCTCGTTGAACATTTTACTACCAAACTCGACTTTGACAGCTGTCCCAAATTAATTAATTTCCTTTACAAAAATTACAAGAATTTAGTGGCTCTATAGACTTGAAATCGCCTCTAACTGTGAAAATAATGTAATTTGACAGGTGCCAATTTTTTTATAAACTCATTGGACATTCAACTATCGAATGTTATTCTGACATCTGTCAAAAATTTCCGAATTTAAAAGCGACAATTTTATTCCTATCAAAATCTCACAAATATATGATAAATCGTCTTTAACTGTCAAAATAATCACATTTGTGTGTCAATTATTTTTCCAGAAGCTCATTGAACATCCTACTGTCAATGTCAATTTTGACAGCTGTCTCAAATTATTTAATTTTTTCTATAGAAATTACACAAACAAAAGGCTCCATAAACGTTAAATCACCTCTGTCAAAATAATGTATTTTGAAAGATAAACTCAATAATCAAATTTCATTATGACAGCTGTCCAAAATTGCCTAATTCAAAATCGACGATTTTATTTCTATGACAATGTCACAAATATTAAAGTTTCATAGATATCAATTTGTTTGTAGCTGTCAAAATAAAAACTTTCGACAGGTGTCAATTATTTCAGAATATTTTACCATTAATGTCGATTTTGACAACTGTCAAAAATTGATCATTTTAATAAGAATGATGATTTTATCTCCCATAAATCGTTTCTCATTTAACGAGTGTCATTTTAAAATTGCACTTTGACATGTGTCACTGCTGTCACTTTGATACTGCAATTTAAATAAGCGCATGCATATTTTGCAAGGAAAGAAAAAATAAACAATGTTTCTACCTTTTTCTTCCATATACTGATAGAGAAGGATGAAAATAGACTTTGTAATTGTTTCGATTCAGAAAGAAATTAGCTTTGGCCTTTTTCTATGCAAGTTTTCAGGTCTTCTTATAGGAGCGGTTTATCTAGTTTAGCTAATGATAGCTACTAGTTAACTGACAGCTAAACTAAATAACTGTTCACTGATAAACCGGTCCTTACCAATTAGAATATCACAGTAAGACATACATTTTTTAAATTCCAGGCTCTTGAATTTTTCTTATTTCTTCAATCCTTTATGCATATAACCAAGATTTTTGAATTCGGAGTATCAGATCTATTTCAAACTTTCAGGATTTATTAACTAGGAGGTTTTCATCAAACAAAGAAACTTTGAATTTAATCTGAAGCTCAGAAATAAAATTATGAGGTTTTTTCCAACTTGATACCAGAAAAAGTTGGAAAATTAGGGTTAAATCACCTTTGATAAATCATGAAAAATACTTCTGAACATCAGATTGATTTCAAACTTTCAGGATTTATTAACCAGGATGTTTTCACTAAGCAAGGAAAATTTGAAGTCAATCTGAAGCTCAGAAATAAAATTATGAGGTTTTTCCCAACTTAATATTAGAAAAAGTTGGAAAATTCAGGTTAAATCACCTTTGAAAAATCCTGCAAAATACTCCGGAGTATCAGATCGATATCAAATTTTCAGGATTTATCAACCAGCATATTTTCAACAAACAATGCAAATTTGAAGTTGATCTGAAGCCTAGAAATTGAATTATGAGGTCATTTCCAACCTAATACCAGAAAAAATTGGAAAATTCACGTTAAATCATCTTTGAAAAATCCTGAAAAATACTTCCGAGGATCAGATCGATTTCAAACTTCCAGGATTTATTAAACAGCATATTTTCAACAAACAATGCAAATTTGAAGTTGATCTGAAGCCTAGAAATTGAATTATGAGGTCTTTTCCAACCTAATACCAGAATAACTTGGAAAATTCAGGTTAAATCATTTTTGAAAAATCCTGAAAAATACTTCCGAGTATCAGATCGATTTCAAACTTTCAGGATTTATTAAACAGCATATTTTCAACAAACAATGCAAATTTGAAGTTGATCTGAAGCCTAGAAATTGAATTATGAGGTCATTTCCAACCTAATACCAGAAAAAATTGGAAAATTCACGTTAAATCATCTTTGAAAAATCCTGAAAAATACTTCCGAGGATCAGATCGATTTCAAACTTCCAGGATTTATTAAACAGCATATTTTCAACAAACAATGCAAATTTGAAGTTGATCTGAAGCCTAGAAATTGAATTATGAGGTCATTTCCAACCTAATACCAGAAAAAATTGGAAAATTCACGTTAAATCATCTTTGAAAAATCCTGAAAAATACTTCCGAGGATCAGATCGATTTCAAACTTCCAGGATTTATTAAACAGCATATTTTCAACAAACAATGCAAATTTGAAGTTGATCTGAAGCCTAGAAATTGAATTATGAGGTCTTTTCCAACCTAATACCAGAATAACTTGGAAAATTCAGGTTAAATCATTTTTGAAAAATCCTGAAAAATACTTCCGAGTATCAGATCGATTTCAAACTTTCAGGATTTATTAAACAGCATATTTTCAACAAACAATGCAAATTTGAAGTTGATCTGAAGCCTAGAAATTGAATTATGAGGTCATTTCCAACCTAATACCAGAAAAAATTGGAAAATTCACGTTAAATCATCTTTGAAAAATCCTGAAAAATACTTCCGAGGATCAGATCGATTTCAAACTTTCAGGATTTATTAAACAACATATTTTCAACAAACAATGCAAATTTTAAGTTGATCTGAAGCCTAGAAATTGAATTATGAGGTCATTTCCAACCTAATACCAGAAAAAATTGGAAAATTCACGTTAAATCATCTTTGAAAAATCCTGAAAAATACTTCCGAGGATCAGATCGATTTCAAACTTCCAGGATTTATTAAACAGCATATTTTCAACAAACAATGCAAATTTGAAGTTGATCTGAAGCCTAGAAATTGAATTATGAGGTCTTTTCCAACCTAATACCAGAAAAACTTGGAAAATTCAGGTTAAATCATCTTTGAAAAATCCTGAAAAATACTTCCGAGTATCAGATCGATTTCAAACTTTCGGGATTTATTAAACAGCATATTTTCAACAAACAATGCAAATTTGAAGTTGATCTGAAGCCTAGAAATTGAATTATGAGGTCATTTCCAACCTAATACCAGAAAAAATTGGAAAATTCACGTTAAATCATCTTTGAAAAATCCTGAAAAATACTTCCGAGGATCAGATCGATTTCAAACTTCCAGGATTTATTAAACAGCATATTTTCAACAAACAATGCAAATTTGAAGTTGATCTGAAGCCTAGAAATTGAATTATGAGGTCTTTTCCAACCTAATACCAGAAAAACTTGGAAAATTCACGTTTGAAAAATCCTGAAAAATACTTCCGAGTATCAGATCGATTTCAAACTCTCAGGATTTATTAAACAGCATATTTTTATCAAACAATGCAAATTTGAAGTTGATCTGAAGC